GCTACTGTTGCTATAGTAGCTGTGGCTGCCCCAGCCCAGTTGTCAAATTTACGTTTAATCGGTTTCATAGTTCCATACTGAGGTAACGTATGCACATAAAATTTATAAAATCGCGAAATTTACATGGCAGTAGCTAGGGACACGAAAAGACCAATGTAGTCGTGTCATTAGGAGTTTATAATTTTGCTAGAAGAGAATGTGCTCCTTTGGAGAATTTAGCAATATTTTTGCCAGTGATGGAATTGTCGAATGCCTGTAGAGTGCTTTTCGAGTGCCTATGTATACTACGTGAGTAGATCATATGCACGAAGTTCGGGATAGAAACTGAAAAAAACAGTGTGTTGAAGGTAGAATTTGTCATTAAAAATTGTATTAATCAGACATATTGATGATTCCACGATTGTGTCCACGAAAAATATCAGCAATAATTGAAATTGAATATTCCTTTGAAAGGATATAAACTCGAGGAATCTTTCGAGTTTTGCGAAATCTTTCAAAGGAGGCCAGAAAATAACGCAGGTGTGATACAGACAAAGACGTTACAGACATGGCACAGTCTTTAACGAAAGATTTGCCAATGATTTCGGCCCTAGTACGTTTCGAAGTCAGGAAATAGGATAAGAGACTCTCCGAATCCAGTCGCACATATGACCAACATGCGCGTTGCAATTATGCGTGTTGTTGATTATGACACCTAAATATTTTACGATTGAGCCAGGTGCTAAATTACAAAACTAGGATCAGGTCAAGCCAATCACTTCTAATAGCTTTCATGGCGAATGTACGCTCGATTGATTTCTCTGCATTTGCAAGCAGGTATAGTTCGTCACTTGGATTGTCAGTGCTTTGAATTCAGATTCTGACCTTATAACACTACCAAAGACAGTATCATTTGCGTATTTTACGCAGAAAACATTGTTAGTCAATAACAACGAATTTACTTAAAGTAATAAACTATTTTACCCTGTTTAAATTCATGTCGATGTTTCTTTGCTAAACTCTTGATCTTCATTGCCACCTACCCGTTTCTCAGCTGCTTTGGCCAGAGCATGGATGAATGATTTGCGTGTTTTAGGGAATAAAAATTGACTAGTATGGCGAGACTGGTATGGCGAGATTGTCGTTTACCTTCCCTGCTTGCATTCAGAGTTTGACCAGCAGGCCACTGATCGGCAGTAGATAGATAAACAGTTTAGAACTGCATTGAAAGCTCTCGAATGCGTGTTAGGAACAATTCCAGCATAGAACGGGCCTCACGGTCGTGAACCGCTGTTGTTGAGCATAAATATGCTTTTTCAGCCGAATGTGAGCGCTCTACCGAGCTACTGTTGTGCGATCACCTATCCTGAACGGTACTTTTGCTTTTCAGAGAGGTCAGTTCGAAAGGTGTGCCACGTTGATGACCAACGAATTCTTGAGTCACGGAGGTTATGGGCATCTCTGTTCGCTGCAGTTAGCTCTGGAGAGACTGAGATGGCGGAGAAAGTGCGCAGTCAACTGGAACACACGTATAACGTAGCGAACGCCGCTCCGAAACTCTACTTTAAAGTGATGACTGACGGCAGATGGTCACCGATCGTTTGATAAGTTTATTGTTTATATATTTTTGTTCGAAAAGGCCATATTTTTTCATTACGTTGACGACCTACTTTATTTTGCCCTCGCAGCGTTCCTTCGCGCGATATCCCGGTGCGATTGTTTGTTATTTGGTTATGATTAATTGTCTTTAATGATGTTAACCGGATTTATGACGGAGTGATACAGCCAGATTTAATGCCTTATTCGTTGCTGTTATTTTTGACCGTGCGAATAAAACTTTGCTCTGGTTGTGCGGTTTTCGGCGCCGTTTATTCTATCTGTTACTCACAGATACCCATCTTACCTTTTGTGCTTTCTTTATGACATCTGTCGTCGCCGCCACCAAGCTGTTTTTTTGTCATGACGGTGCGGCAGTCGCCTCAGCGCACGCGGCATTTGCGATTGCGATTGTTTTTTCGTTTCATGCCTTGCGTTTGTCTCCACCAGTTGATCGAATAGGTTAGAAAAATGGCTGAACCGCGATTGGCCTTCTGTGAAGGCTATGGCCGTCCTTTGCTTGTACGCGTCTGAAACCCGTTTTTGCTTTAGGGCTTCGTTTTTCACGTGAATGTGCGTCGTTTGCCGCTGACCGATTAACCGCGCCCATACTCATCGTACTCGTTCGAAGGTACGTTACGATGCCAGACCGAAAACCGATGTGTACAAAGATCCGGGATGTAAGTACAGTGCATTATTTGCGTCGCATTGAAGCGCAGATAGACTGCTGCTGCTTAGATGGACTTTTACGGCATCGGCGATGACCATTTGCTGTCCGATGTTCAATCTGCTCGTTGCGTCAATGGAAGTGACGAACCATCGCTGCTGTTCGAACCGTTCGTACGAAGTCAGCGTCGCAAGGTCATTCCTTTGATGCCGTATTTTCATAAGCTCTTGAACTCCTTCTACAAGTTCCGTGACGAGGTCGAAATCAAAGTGCACGGTAACTGTAATCCTCGAACGATCTGTTAACTCTAACCGCACGTTCTTCAGATTTTAACCGATACGTGACCAAGGAAGACAACACACTGATACCAAAGTCGATCGTGGTTGGCTTGGGCGGCATGGGCGGTTTCCTGATGGGTGCTCGCAAAGGTGAATCTTTTGAGCGCATTCTGCGTTTCGCTTGATTTTCTGAGATAATGCTATGAGATTCTTTTCCACCGCAAAATCTGAAACACCGCCGTAAGTTTCGCTGCGTCAAGCAATTCCAGCACATAAAACTTGCCCTGGGATTCGTTGTTTAATTTTTCTTATCTTATGCCTCGGTGATAGAAAGTATGATTCCTCACCATTCTGTCTAAACGAATGTATGTAGACACTAGTGACCGTAAATTTTATAAGAATCTGTGTTTTTTAAACCGCCGGAATCATACTTATAATTGCGAGTCCATGTTATCCTCACATCTTCAGTTCTTAGTAAGTCGAAAATAATTAAAATAATAGGTTTAGGGATTATTAAAATGAAATGACTGATGATATTTTTGTCAAAAGTATCGTTTTAAGCCTTCAGTATAGTTTATACAATAATCTGTAGGTAAAACCGGTGAAACCCTCAGAAACTTGCATTCCGAGTAGAAGAACTTCTATTATTCGCAGCTTTCATACTGAGGACTCGAGTGTTGCATCTCATGCGTTCGTAGAAGAACATGACCGTAGAAGAACAGCGAGTGTTTCGGTAATTGACAGAG